ACTCAGGAGGCTGAGGCAGGAGAATTGCCTGAACCCAGGAGGCGGAGGTTGCGGTGAGCCGAGATCGCGCCATTGCACTCCAGCCTGGGTAACAAGAGCGAAACTCCATCTCAAAAAAAAAAAAAAAAAAAAAAAAAGAAAGTGGCACTAAACTGTACTAGTAGTCGTGTTCTTTACTGCCGCTTCGTTTTCACTTGAGAAAGTCCTTTTCACTGGGCGCGGTGGCTCAAGCCTGTAATCCCAGCACTTGGGGAGGCCGAGGCGGGTGGATCACGAGGTCAAGAGATCGAGACTGTCCTGGTCAACAAGGTGAAACCCCGTCTCTACTAAAAATACAGAAAATAAGCTGGGCATGGTGGTGCGTGCATGTAATCCCAGCTACTCAGGAGGCTTAGACAGGAGAATTGCCTGAACCCAGGAGGCAGAGGTTGTGGTGAGCCGAGACCACGCCATTGCACTCCAGCCTGGGTAACAAGAGCAAAACTCCATCTCAAAAAATAAATAAATAATAATAATAATAGAATGTTCTTGTTGAAGCAGTAAAATATATATTTTTTTTTTTTTTTTTTTTTTTTTTTTGAGACGGAGTTTCGCTCGTTACCCAGGCTGGAGTGCGATGGCGCGATCTCGGCTCACCGCAGCCTCCGCCTTCTGGGTTCAGGCAATTCTCCTGCCTCAGCCTCCTGAGTAGCTGGGATTACAGGCACGTGCCACCATGCCCAGCTGATTTTTTTGTATTTTTAGTAGAGACGGGGTTTCACCATGTTGACCAGGATGGTCTCGATCTCTCGACCTCGTGATCCACCCGCCTCGGCCTCCCAAAGTGCTGGGATTACAGGCTTGAGCCACCGCGCCCGGCTGAAGCAGTAAAATATTAATTTTATTAATTATATTTGAGCTCATGTCTTTTTTTTTTTTTTTTAGACAGAGTTTCACTCTTGTAACCCAGGCTGGAGTGCAATGGCGCGATCTCGGCTCACCACAACCTCTGCCTCCTGGGTTCAGGCAATTCTCCTGCCTCAGCCTCCTGAGTAGCTGGGATTACAGGCACGCACCACCATGCCCAGCTTATTTTCTGTATTTTTAGTACAGACGGGGTTTCACCATGTTGACCAGGATGGTCTCGATCTCTTGACCTCGTGATCCACCCGCCTCGGCCTCCCAAAGTGCTGGGATTACAGGCGTGAGCCACCGCGCCAGGCTCATGTCTTTTTTTTTAACAGACCTATTTTTTAGAGCAGTTTTAGGATCACAGAGTAAGCATAAGGTACAGATATTTCCCATATCTCCCTGTCCCCATGTATGTTTAGCTTACCCCACTATCCCCCACCCAGCAGCAAGGTTATACATTATTTGTTAGAATCAATGAACTTGCCGGGCGCGGTGGCTCAAGCCTGTAATCCCAGCACTTTGGGAGGCCGAGGCGGGTGGATCACGAGGTCAAGAGATCGAGACCATCCCGGTCAACATGGTGAAACCCCGTCTCTACTAAAGATACAAAAAATCAGCTGGGCATGGTGGCGCGTGCCTGTAATCCCAGCTACTCAGGAGGCTGAGGCAGGAGAATTGTCTGAACCCAGGAGGCGGAGGTTGTGGTGAGCCGAGATCGCGCCATTGCACTCCAGCCTGGGTAACAAGAGCGAAACTCCGTCTCAAAAAAAAAAAAAAAAAAAAAAAAAAAAAAGAATCAATGAACTTAGACTGACATATCATTATCATACAAAGTCCATGGTTTAGGGTTCACTCTTAATGTTGTACATTCTGTCATTTTAGACAAATGTGCATGACACATATCCACCGTAATAGCGTCGTAGAGAGGAGTTTCGCTGTCCTGAGAATCCCCTGTGGTCTTGTCCTGCCCTCCCTCTTACCCCCGTGGCAATCACTGATCTTTTTACCATCTCCGTAATGTGGCTTATCCCAACAGTCTTGTTGTTGGGATCATATAGTATTTGGCCTTTTCAGGTTGGCTTTTTCATTTTTTTTTTTTTTTAGAGACAGGCTCTCTCACTTTTTTGTCCTGGCTAGCCCCCTTGGGACTATACAGGTGCATGCTACAGTTTGACTAGCTTCAAACTGGCTTCTTTCACTGTCATATGCATTTTAGGTTCCCCCATGGCTTTTCGTGGCTTGATAGCTCATTTCATTTTTTCATTGAATAATATTCCATTCTCTGGACACACCAGTTGGTTTATCCATTCACCTATAGAAGGCCATCTTAGTTGCTTCCACGTTTTGGCAATCCTGAATAAAGCTGCTTTAGAACATCTTTATGCAGGTTTTTGTGTGAATGTGTTTGTTTTTTTTTTTTTTTTTTTTTTTTTTGAGACGGAGTTTCGCTCTTGTTACCCAGGCTGGAGTGTAATGGCACGATCTCGGCTCACCGCAACCTCTGCCTCCCGGGTTCAAGCAATTCTCCTGCCTCAGCCTCCTGAGTAGCTGGGATTACAGGCACGTGCCACCATGCCCAGCTAATTTTTTGTATTTTTAGTAGAGACAGGATTTCACCATGTTGACCAGGATGGTCTCGATCTCTTGACCTTGTGATCCAACCGCCTCGGCCTCCCAAAGTGCTGGGATTACAGGCTTGAGCCACTGCGCCCGGCTGTGAGTGTGTTTTTGTTTGTTTGCTTGCTTGCTTGTTTTGAGACAGAGTCTCACTCTGTCGCCCAGGCTGGAGTGCAATGGTGTCATCTCGGCTCACTGCAACCTCTGCCTCCCGGGCTCAAGCGATTCTCCTACCTCAGCCTCCCAAGTAGCTAGAATTACAGGCGCCCACCACCATGCCTGGCTAACTTTGTATTTTGAGTAGAGACGGGGTTTCACCAGGTTGGTGGGGCTGATCTCAAACTCCTGACCTCAAGCAATCCACCAGCCTCGGCCTCCCAAAGTGCTGGGATTACAGGCATGAGCCACTGTGCCTGACCTGTTAATGTGTTCTTATCTCATTTGGGTAAATAGCAAAGAGTACGGTTAATGGATTGCAAGGTAAGAGTGTGTTTAGGGCCAGTCATGGTGGCTAATGCTTGTAATCCCAGCACTTTGGGAGGTGGAGGTGGGAGGATCACTTGAGACCAGGAGTTTGAGACCAGCCTGGACAACATATTGAGACTTCTGTCTCTACAAAAAACAAAAAATTAGCTGGGTGTGTGGTATGCACCTGTTGTCCCAGCTGCTTGGGAGGTTGAAGTGGGAGGATCCCTTGAGTCTGGTAGGTCAAGGCTGCAGGGAGCCTTGATCATGCCTCTGCACTGCAACATGGGTGACAAAGCAAGAATTTGTCTCAAAAAAAAATTTTTAGTTTTGTAAGAAACCACCAAACTGTCTTCCAAAGTAGCCATACCATTTTGCATTGCCACCAGCAATGAATGACTTGAATGTTTCAATTTCCAATTCCTGAATGACATATGATGTTGAGTATCTTTTCAAGTACTTACTATCCATCTGTACATCTTCTGTGGGGTGTCTGTTCATATCTTTCACCCAGGCTAGTGCAGTGGTGCGATCTGCTCACTGCAACTGAAGCAGGAGCAGCCGCAAGAAACAGACCTCTGGAACACCAAGATGTTTATTATTATTACGGCTTGGAGCCAGGCAACAATTTGTCTAAATGACCAACCCCCTCCAACAAAGAGAAGCTCTGCCTTTCTATAGGCTTACACTCTAAATATTACACATGAAAGAATCTTAGGTTCACAGCCTTAGAAATTACAAGTGAAAGGGTCTTGGGTTCACAGTTTTAGAAATCATATATGAAAGGGTCTTGGTCGATGGAGGAGTGGGGTGGGGGTTTGATCTTGTCTAAGTAAAAACAATGTCCTCTAGAAGGATTCCTTCACACCATGCCTGCTATTTATAGGAAGGTGATTTAGGAGGCACCAGGCAGTGAGCGTTTTCTTCTATTGAAATGCAGTGTGGAAGTCCAGCGGGAGGTGATCCTAGATGCCTGGGTCTCCTTCCTTACCACCTCTGCCTCCCGGATTCAATCAACCCTCTTTCTTCAGCTGCTGGAGTAGCCGGGATTATGGGTATACACAACCACACCCAGCTAATTTTTTATTTTCAGTAGAGATGGCATTTCACCATGTTGGCCAGGCTGGTCTCAAACTCCTGACCTCAAATGATCCACCTGCCTCCGGACTCCCAAAGTGCTGGGATTACAGGCATGAGCCACTGTGCCTGGCTTTTTTGTTTTTTGTTTTTTTGTTTTTTGAGAAAGTCTCACCCCGGCAGGCTGGAGTGCAGTGGCATGATCTTGGCTCACTGCAACCTCCTGGTTCAAGCCATTCTCCTGACTCAGCCTCCCGAGTAGCTAGGATTACAGGCATGTGCCACCACGCCTGGCTAATTTTTGCGTTTTTAGTAGAGACAGGGTTTCACCATGTTGGCCAGGCTGGTCTCTAACTCCTGACCTCAAATGATCCACCTGCCTTAACTTCCCAAAGTGCTGGGATTACAGATGTGAGCCATCGTGCTGGGTGAAGAATTCTTTATTATGGAAAACAGTCCCTTATCAGATGTCTTCAATTTTTTTTTTGAGATGAGGACTACCTCTATCACCCAGGATGGAGTTCAGTGACGCTCTCTTGGCTCACTGCAACCTCCACCTTCCAGGTTGCAGGTTCAAGCAATTCTCCTGCCTCAGCCTCCCAAGTAGCTGGGATTACAGGCAGCCACCACCATGCCTGGCTAATTTTTGTATTTTTGGTAGAGACAGGGTTTCACCATGTTGGCCTGGCTAGTCTTGAACTTCTGACCTCAGGTGATCCACCTGCCTTGGCCTCCCAAGTGCTGGGATAACAGGCATCAGGCACCTCACCTGGCCAAAATATAGTAAAAGTTTAGTAAATTACTGTTGAGCGGAAAACTGAATGGGTGTTCTGAGTGAGGAGAAAGTCTAACCATGGGAATTTGGAGAGAGGTGGGTTGAGTCCCTGACAGTTACCTTCATTCCAGCACCAGCTGGTCAGGCCCCTGAGACCCATGTGATTTCCGAATAGGATCAAGCAAACCCTTCTGAGCCAGAGATTGACCTGGAGACTCTCATGGATCTATCCACAGAGGAGCAGAAGACTCAGTTGGAGGTAGGATGGGGGCTAGAAGCTGGCCTTGGGTCAAGGGGAACCCAGGAACCCAGGTTCTGCCTCCTTCGGTGGAGTGGAAAGAACCAATCCAGAGGGGAAAACTCTTGGGAGATTGATGGGAACTTGTGGGAAAGTGCTGTGACTTGGGGGCCACTCTTTGCTCTCTCCTATCTAGGCCATTCTTGGGAACTGCCCCCGCCCCACAGAGGTAAGGGACATTCTGCTGGTCTGGGGTAAGAGGAGGCCCAGTGGGGGAGGCAACTAATGAAGAGGAGTATTTGAAGGGAAGACTTGGCTGTGGGTCCTTCTCCCTTCTCTGCGGAGACAGGGTCAGTGCAAGATTAGGGAGGGCAGGGTGGGGGTTGGATTATGACCCCAAGCCTTGGTCTCACTCCTGTTTCTCCCTCAGTCTTTTATCTCTGAGCTGCTCAGTCAACTCAAGAAACTCAGGAGACTCAGTCGACCTCAGAAATGAGCCCGGGAGATCATCTTTAGCAGCCTCAGCATTACCAGGCCTGACCTGACACTCCAGATCCTGACTAAGAGGGAAACATCTCCTTGGGACACAAACAAGAAATGTGGACAAGGAGGGACATTTGCACACTCCTACTGTCTGTGTGGTCACAGCTAGTTTCTGTCAGCTGGGCTCTCTGGGAGAGAGCTGGCTGTTGTCCAGTGCTTTCCTTGGCAGCCAAGTGGATAAAACCTTTAGGAGCCTCAGTTCAATGGAGTGTGGAACATATCTGTGTTGAGGGACAGGGGAGGGAAAGGATGAAGTGATACACAACCTGAGTTGGGAAGGCCACAACCTGAGTCACTAGGCTATACCCACATATCTCATCCATCCATCCATCCATCCATCCATCCATCCATCCATCCAAAGGACTCAAGAATTCAGACAAGGTCACAGCTCCACTTCAGAGAAATCACAGTCTAGCAAGGCCAAGGGGCCAAGCAGACATTATCTGCCTAAGGTACATAGCTTCCTGGCATAACCAACAAGAGGGATGCCAGTGGCAAAGACTAATTTCAAATCCTAGAGAGGAAGTAACAGGAAAAACCTAGCTGAATCTGCGTCTCAGGGAAAGTTTCCTCCAACCACAAATGAAGCAGGAGGTAGACCTCAGCCTGAGGGTTCTTTCTTGAGTAGGTTCCAGCCAGGGGCAGAACAGAAGAGAAACAGCAGAGGCATGTAAAGGATACGTGCTAAGAGGCCAAGGGTCCAGTTAGGGTGAGTTACTGGAAGAGAAATACTGAGACTGAATGGCAGGCGGGTTATCCGGGAGTCCTAGGAGGTGGGGTCCTTTGCCAGTAACACTGGAAGCATGGCATGTGTGCATTGTTACTGCATGTGTTATGTAAGTTGTAGAGAGGCTGAGAAACCCAACAAGGTGGGGCCTGGTGGCTAAGTGGGGCTGCCCAGAACTGGAAGCACAGTTCAGTTTAATGAATGTACATGCTTACTTCGTACGAGACTACCAGGATGGGTAGGGCTGCTACTGCATGGAGAAGTTCATAGGGTGGCTCAACCATTTCTCTCATTCCCCACAACTGTGCTTATAGCCTGCTCTGTTCCTGCCACCTCTCAGCAGGACCAGGCTCACAGAAATGAGATGCTGGATCCAATGAATCAATATACTTTATTAGATCCACTAAGTGTCAAGGGAGAGCCCTGTGCCCTAGAGTCAGGTCACAGGGCTCACCTGTAGATTCGGTCTGGTCTCTCCCCATCATGCCTCTCACTTCTAGTCTGGGCTTCTAGTAGGAGGGCCTCTACTTCTGCACTTGGCCCTCCCAGTCATCCTCTCGAATGGAGAATCTTTCTTCATTCCAGGGAAACCAAGGCTCATGAAGGGGCCTACCCATCATCAACAGAGCCAGAGCTCTCCCACTGGACATCCTGTGGCTGGGCCCAGAAACCGGTCCTGCCTGCTGTGGGACTGCCTTTCCAGGAGAACCAGGGTGTCGTCAGTGCTCTCGGCCTGCACGCGGAGGGCAATAGGCAGATGTCTGGTGCTCTTTAAGCTCAAAGGCATCATGGCCTTCCCTGTGGAACAAAGGGATACAAGTTAGGGATCCAGGCAGCCCTTGAACCCTCCCACAGGACATTCCACCTGCACCCACCGGAAGCAGCGGGCACAGAAGAGGTCGCCATCGCAGCCAGCACAGCGCAGGGAGGCATCCTCATTGCAGATGCAGCACCAGGGGAGCTCCTCTTCCTCAGCCTCAGGCCTGGGATCCGCATCCTGGGCCTTCAGGGACCAGAGAGGAATGGAAGTAAGGTACCCAGTGGGGTGTGGGAGCTGCTCGGGGAGCAGTCAGCCAGACAGGAAACAAGGCTGTGGGCAGCCTGGGGGTCTGCATCTGGGACTTTTCTCACCTCAGGCTCTACCCTGCGGGGTTGGGTCCGGGGTCGAGAAGCCGGCTCCACAGGGATGTTAAAGCCACTTGCCTCGTCCAGGGCAGCTTCTTCAGTGAGCTGTGGACGAGATCAAGAGGTACCACTCCCTGCTCCAAGCCCAGGCCCCCCACCTCCCAGTATTTCTGTGCTCTGTGGACTTAGCTTCTCAAACTCATCTTTTTCTTTATTTGTGGCCTGTGGCTGCTGATTCCCTATCTCAAGGAACCAGTGGGCAGGGCTGCACTGTTACTGCCCACCCAGCCCCAGAGTGGAGGTGGGGCAATGAGGTGAAGAGATGGGACGGGGTGGCGGGTGGATGAGCCAGGCCCACCTGCTGAAGGACTCTCTGGATGGCTGTCTCCTCATCCTCGTCGTCATCACTGTCTGGGAGGCGATAGTCCTGGAGGGTGACTTGAAGAGAGAGAGACAGGAACAGGGGAAGAGGGAGTGAGGGTGAGAGATTTCACCTGAGTGGCTGCCCTCCTGCCTCCCAGAAGTGGTTTCGTTCCCAGGGGCACTTATTCCAGAGCTGAGAAGGCTCTTCAGCCACCTTGAGGAGACCTGTCTCTGTCTGCCCCAGCAGGACAGGGCCGGGCCATCACTGAAGCAGGCCTCAGGGCTGCGTTAGGGGCAGGAACAGAAGCCTCAGCCCCTGAATGGACTGAAAGTCCCCTGCCCTCATGGCTGCCCCTGACTCCTCACCCACTGCTTTGCTCCACCACCTTCCTTGTGGCTCTGGGCTGGGTTCAGCAGATCTCTGGGCACAGGTACCCCCAGCACCTCACTCAGCCCTGCCAGGGAGGCCTTGACCCAGGGACACCAGTGAGCAGCTGCTCCCCAGCCTTCACCTCTCTCGGGGTCCTGTCCCCGCAGCACGGCCAGTCGCTTGGCCAGGGCCAGGATCCGTTCCCGCCTCGTGTTCTCCTCCCGCAACTCAAGTGCTGCCTCAGCCAGCAATCTGCTTTTCTCTTCCTCCAGGGACCAGCTGGCTGGCCCCTTGGAATTAGTGCTCCCTGGGCCACCCTGGTTGAGGTCATTCTGGAGAGAGGCAGCTGGAAGGGGCAGTGCCATCAGGGAGGCAGAGACATTCCAAGATCTCTCCTCAGAAGCCACTGAGCCCATTTCTCAACCCTTTCTAACCACAGATCATCAGCTTTTTGATCAGCGCTAGCACCTAATGGTTTCTATTACAAATAAAACCAGTATTCCTCCATTTTTCCAAATGTAAGAAGCTAGTAATCTTAGCCATGTCTTTTCCCACTATATCCATCCCCATCTACCTGATGTTTTAACATTCTGCCCTCAGGGTGGGTGTCCCGTGGTTTGAGAATCGATGCCCTAAAGGATAGGCAGGTCTCTGCCTTTCAGGGCAGGATGAAGAGGTAACACAGACAGCGTGCTAGGCCCTCTCTGTGCTGACACAGATCAGCACAGACAGGGTAATGGAGGAAGCTAAGAGCTTGTATATCACTGGGCAGGAAGAATTTTGCCAGACTAGGTGTGGTTCTGACACGGTCACCTTCAATTTAGCATTTCAGAGCAAGAGGTTTAAAATCACAGTTTAGGTTTAAGTCTCGGTTCTGCAGCTTAATATCTGTGTGACCTTGGTCAAGTTCCTCAAGCTCACCAGGTCTGTTTCCTCATTTATGAAAAAGAATAGTATATACCTTACAAGATTTTGTTTTTCTTATAACAGTGTCTTACTATGTTGCCCAAGCAAGTCTCAAACTGCTGGGCTCCAGCTATCCCCCGCTCCAGCCTCTTCCTCCTTAAGTGCTTAGGATTACAGGTGTGAGCCTGGCCTCATGGGATTATTGAGGATATTCAATGAGATTGTGCCTCTAAAGCAGGATTTCTCAATCTTAGTAATTCTTCCCTGTGATACACTGTCCTGTGCCACCACAGATTTAGTAGCATCCCTGGCTTCTATCCTCTAGGTGCCAGGAACATTTTCTGAGTTGTGACAACCAAAAAGTCTCTAAACGTTGCCACAAGTAACCTGGGGGGCAAAAATCATCCTTCGTTAAAAAAATACTGCTCTGATGCCTTCAGACAGCACTGTCCAATAAAATGTTCCATGATGATGGGAACGTTCCATATCATGTTCTTTATCTGCACTGTCCAAGAAGGTAGACCTGAAGCCTACGTGGCTGCTGAGCATTGAGATGTGCCTGGTGCTGCTAAATAGCTTCTACTTCCTTATCAACATCATGACTGCAGAGAATATTCACTGAGTGCTCACCATGAGTCAGGTATGGTCTCAAGCACTTACCGGTTTATCTCATTTACTCCTCATGACCTCCCCGTGAGGCAGGTTTTTCCATACATACTTTCATTTTACACATGAGGAAAATGAGACTGAGGTCGAGTAACTTGTCCAGTGTCACACAGCTAAACATGGTAGAACTGAGAATCACTGATTCTAAAGCCCGTGCACTTAAACTCTAGGCTTGCACTGGCTCCCTTTAGAGTAAGCACTCAATGAACGGTCTTATAATGTTGATCACTCTCTGATTTACATTAATCTCCCAGAGTGTGAATAGCAGAGCCTCTCCCATCTGGGGAAAGAGGTGGGACAGGTTCCTGGGGAGCCAAGTGGAAGGGTTACCTGGGCCTCCTCCTTTCCAGCTTTCATCGATAGCCACCTCAGCTGCCAGCTGCGTTAGCAGATCCTGTGTCTGCTGGGCTTGAGTCCTGGTGTCTGGTGTGAGATGTGCCTGCCCAGATGAGGGAACCTCAGTGGAGAGTAGGGGTAGCCCAGAAGCAGTCTAGGTCAGGGATGGATGCTAAGGAGTTCTCAAAGCCCGGGGAAAGGAGACAGATCCAGGGCCCACATAATCAGTAGGTCTGGCAGTCCCCAGTAGGACCGAGGGGCACTCTTTCCTGCCCTACCCAATCCTGCTGTTTGTCCCTGGTCCCCTCGTCTGGTAACAGACATGAGGATCAGGAGGTAGGGGTGGGAGGTTTGTCAACTCCTTCAAAGTACATAAAGCACAAAGGTTGCTGCAAAAGTAATTGAGGTTTTTGCAATGAAATGACAAAGCAATTACTTTTGTACCAACCCCAATACCTGTATCTGGGCTTCTGCTGGGTCCTCACCCTAGTTCCCCCACTTCTCTCCGAAGCTGTAACACTCACCGGCTGGGGGGTTTGAGAAGGTGGAACTCTGCCCTGCAATGCCGCAAGCCGAGCCTCCATTTCCTGGGTGGAAGGGATGGAACCTGGATGTTCATCCTTTAGCGCAGCCAGTCGTGCCTCTATCTCTGCCTGTGAGGGGATTAACTCTGCAAGTGGCATGGGAGGAGCCTTGTAAGGGCCAGAGGCATCTCAGTCCCAGAAGTCCTAGACCGTGTCCTCTAGGCACCCCCACCTGCCCCCACTCACTGGGCTTGTTCTCTTGGCGGAGTCGTGCTAGGCGCTTAGCAATGATCTGGTCTTGTTGTGTCAGTCCCTGGCTCTGGGAAGTGCTGGACTTCTGCTTGGCTTCCAAGGCTGCTACACGCCTGGCAGGATATGAGATAGAGGCTCTTGAAGAAGGCAGAGGGGAGGAGTGAAGATACCCACTCCCTGGTTCCCACGCAAATCAAACCATTTCTGGAAACCTAGGGAGGCCTCCAATGGGCAATCTTCTGTGGCCCTCACTCATGTCACCCTGGAGCCCAACTTGGCTGACCAGACAGAGGGTCCAGTTGAGAACAAGCTCTACCAAATTCCTCTCCTTGGGAGAGGGCTGATGAGCTACTTTACCAGTCCAAGAGGGCAGTCAGGAACCAGAGAGGAGAGCCTTCTCCTGATTCTGTGCTCATTTCATCTAAAAGATGTAGGGGAAGATCTTTCCCTATGGCTCCCTTAACCTTTCCCCAACCCTCTTTGTCTTTTTCTCTTTACTACTTACTTCTTATAGTTCTGAGGTGGCGACCACTTGGAGGCATTGGCAGGAGAAGATCCTCTACAGAGAAGAAATCTAGTGTTAGATGTCCTGCCATCCCACCAGGCAGTGCCCCCCACTCCAAACACTTCCTGGGCTGACTCTCATCACAGAGTACAAAGCTGTAAAGGCTGGCCAGATGCCCACTACCACACTTGGCTGAACATTCACCCATGCCTGCCTCTCACCTGGTCAGGACCTCATAGCACTGCTTGCAGACTTTCTGTTGGGTGTTCCCAGTCCGAGGCACTGCTGCACTGAAGCTTAGGCAGCCTGAACAGAAGGCCCTGCCACAATTCTTACAGCCGTACTACAAGAAACATAAAGTGGGAAGATCCACCTCTCACCCATCCCTGCAGGCTGCTCCCAGGGAATCTCCAAGCACACACAGAGAGAAGGCACTGAAGTTATGACCAGCTGCTAAGAGGAGGAAGAGGAGTAGGGCCCCTAAGGCCTAGGGAGAGACAAAAGTGGAGGGTAAAGCAATTCCTCGGTTTCCAGTGCCTTATTCAAGCCAAATAAAGCTTTATGCAAAATTCCCATGCCTTCTACCCTGTCTTCAATTCCCTTGACCCAGGGGTGTGGAAGACAGATAGATAAAGCCCAGTATTTCAGGCCATTGACACTTCCACAAAGGAGAATCAGAGACAGGTCAGAGCCCATGCCTCCCCTGCTGTTGCAGAGATGGAGGGAGGCTTGGCTTAGGACGGGATAACAATAGCCTCTATTTATTAAGCACTTACTGTGTGCCAGGCACTAAATCCAGTACTTAGCATTCATCATGTGATTTATTCCTCACAATTTACATACATTATTTTACTAAATCTTGATGCCTACCGTGATTATCCTTATTTAGAGGGGGCCAGAGAGGTTATATAACTTATCCAAACCAAGGTAACCCCGTCAACAAGACAGCAGAGCTCAGGTTTGAACCCTGACTCCAAAATCCAGGTTGGTAAACGCTACACGGTCCTGCCTTCCTTCCTGACATTAATTTACTCCATCTGGTTCCGACATCTCCTGGTCAGAATCCCTGGCCACAACCGAGGCAGAGGGAACCTGCGGTTTACTGGAGAAATCTGGCAGGTGTGTGATAAGGACAGGACGGCTACCCTTCGCCATGGTGCCCCGGAGGCAGGAGGAAGTGTGGTAATCAAACTCAAGTGACCTGGAGAAGGGCAGGCTGCGGAATGGGGAAAGTTTCAGAGCAGAGAGAGTAAAGGGCTTGGTGTGATGGACACCGAGTAGCGAAGGAGCAAGGTGTCTAGAAGAAAACTGCCAGATGCTACACTGATCCGACAGAAAAGAGTAGCTTTGCAAAAAAACGACGGAGCACGCTTTACAGTTTATAGGGAACTCTCACCTCCAGCACTTCAGTGGACCCTCACATAAACCCGAAAGCGAGGGAATGTTAGCCCATTTTGCAGAAATTGAAACAGACGATCAATGACTTCATCAAAACCACACAGCTGGAAAGAGGCTGTAAGACCACGTCTTTGGACGTCAAGTCCAGCGCTTTTCCCTCCACTCCTCCCTAGCCCTGCAGCCCTCGGGGAGAGAAGACTCGCCTCCTTCTTGAAGAGGGTGAACTTGACAGCGCAGCCGTAGCACCTACTCTCCATGATGGCTCCCAGCGGTGCAGGGTCTGAAGAGTTGAGGTCACGCTGGCCAAGTCCTGAGCCCCTTGGACCCTCACCCCAGCTCCGCCCTTCCCTTCCCTTCCCTTCCCTGTCCTGCCCCTCCCCACACGCCCACTAGCACTGTCCGGCCGCAGCCTGGAGCAGGGAATCCGGACGCTCATCCGCAGCCAGTGTACCGCAGCAGCGGGAGCGGGGGCTGCTGGGAATCGTAGTTCATTCACGACTGCCGGCCTTCCTGAGTCAGTCAATCCTGACCCAGAACACAGTTCCCAGAGGGCCAGGCGCCACTCGGAGCCGGCAGTCCCCACGCGCGCTTTGACTCCTGGGAGTTGTAGTACGATTGCGTCAGGCGGGAACCATGGCAGTGACCAAGGAGCTCTTACAAATGGACCTGTACGCGCTGCTAGGCATTGAGGAGAAGGCGGCGGACAAAGAGGTGAGAACAGTGGCGATGAAGGCTGATCCTGAGAGGCCCGGTGGCCCTTCCTGTCCTGGCGCCTCGCCCGCGGCTGACATCCGCTCTCCAGGTTCGGTCGGGTCCTGGGCGGGGAGCGAGGGTCAGCCCTATGGCCTCCGCAGGCGGGCTCCTAGACATTTCCTGGACTGTACGACGGCCTCAAGAGGAATTGGGGCCCAGAGAGCTCTCGCGCCGCGCGGCTATCCTCTCCCTGTGTGCTCGGGTGAGGCTGCAAGAGAACGCTAGCGTCCTCTGCGCCTGCGCAGTTTCGGCCTCCGGTTTTGCGTGTCTTGACTGTGACAAGAGGTGCCTCGTTTCGGTCTCTTCTGCAGGCTGATTTAATTTCTCCACTTACATCCTAGGGCGAAAGAAAGGTCAGATCTCAAGGCCTCTCAACTCCCTTTACATGCCCCCTTCCAGTGTGACCGACGGCCCTGCTGTCTTTTCTTTTCTACTCTAGCCCATTGCCTCTTTTCCAGTCAGTGGCTGATGCCCTTCTCAGCATGTGCTAGTTAGTGGGCTAAAAGCAGGAGGATCCGAAGTTTAAGGCAGATAGCCTAGAGTTCCATGTTACCTTGGGTGTTGTTAAATATGCCAGGGAGTGAAACACTGAGCAAGATGGACTTCAGATTTCTGTTACCTCCCCCTGGATCATAGTGGTAGTTTTAACAATATAGGAAGGAGAGGTGTTCATCATATGAAAATTGGTGCCCAGTTGAGCCGAGATCGCACCACTGCACTCCATCCTGGGCGACAGAGCAAGACTCCGTCACAAAAAAAAAAAAAAAAAAGAAAAGAAAGAAAATTAGTGAGCCAGGAGCGGTGGCTCACGCCTGTAATCCCAGCGCTTCGTGAGGCCGAGGTGGGCGGATCACCTGAGGTCAGGAGTTCGAGACCATCCTGACCAACATGGAGAAACCCTGTCACTACTAAAAATACAAAATTAGCCAGGCATAGTGGCGCATGCCTGTAATCCCAGCTACTCTAGAGACTGAGGCAGGAGAATTGCTTGAACCCAGGAGGCAGAGGTTGCGGTAAGCCAAGATCACGCCATTGCATTCCAGCCTGGGCAACAAGAGCAAAACTCTGTTTAAAAAAAAAAAAAAAAAATTGCTTTTGGCTGGGTGCAGTGGCTGGTGGAGGTTGCAGTGAGAAAATTAGTGCCCACTAGGCCAGGTGCAGTGGCTCACACCTGTAATCCCAGCACTTTGGGAGGCCGAGGTGGGCAGATCGAAAGGTCTGGCGTTCGAGAGCAGCTTGGCCCATATGGTGAAACGCCGTCTCTACTGAAAAATACAATAATTAGCCGGGCGTGGTGGCAGACACTTGTAGTCCATACATGGGAAGCTGAGGCAGGAGAATCGCTTGAACCTGGGATGTGGAGGTTACAGTGAGCCGAGATGGCACCACTGCTCTCCAGCCTGGGCAACAGAGCAAAACTTGTCTCAAAAGAAAAAGAAAAGAAAATTAGGGCCCCCTAATGTCCCTGTACTTCTGGGCTGCCCTGCTCAAGGGGTGAGTGAGATTTTGATAAGAGGAAGCTCTGGGGCAGAAAATCAGGGAGACCCAGAGGGCCCTTGAGAGATGCTGTCAACCTGCACAATCTGTCACCTTCAGCCAAGGCTGAAATCAGAAGTGGCCATGGGGATGTCTATGAAATATCAAGAGCATCTGCTTCACCTCGCTCATGTTTTAATATTTTAGGATTCGTAATTCCTAACACCTATATAATGTTTACTGCGCCCTGGACAGTATTTTTTTTCCTGGACCGTATTCTAAGTGCGCTATGTTTGCAAATGATTATTATGTTTTTATTTCTTATTATAATTTTTTGAGATGGAGTCTCACTCTGTCACCCAGGCTCCAGTGCAGTGGCGTGATCTCAGCTAATTGCAACTTCTGTCTCCCAGGTTCAAGCGATTCTCCTGCCTCAGCCTCCTGAGTAGCCGGGACTACAGGCATGCACCACCACACCTGGCTAATTTTTGTATTTTTAGTAGAGACAGGGTTTCACCATGGCGGTCAGGCTGGTATCGAACTCCTGAACTCAGGCGATCCACCCACTTCGGCTTCCCAAAGTGGTGGGATTACAGGCACGAGTATTAATAAAGTACTAATTAAATAATTTGCCCAGCCTGCAGATTATTTAATTAGTACTTTATTAATAGTGAGAAATTATTTGAGACATTTCACACAACATCTCAGTGGGAAATCTAGAGGTTTTCTTTGTTTTTTGTGTGTGTTTGTTTTGAGACAGTCTCGCTCTGTAGCCTAGGTTGGAGTGAAGTGGCGCCATCTCGGCTCACTGCAACCTCCACCTCCCCAGTCCTGGTTCAAGCAATTCTTCTGCCTCAGCCTCTTGAGTAGCTGGGATTTCAGGTACACACCACCATGCCCACCTAATTTTTCTGTTTTTAGTAGAGACGGGGTTTCACCATGTTGGCCAGGATGGTCTTGAACTCCTGACCCTGTGATCCACCCACTTCAGCCTCTCAAAGTGCTGGGATTATAGGCATGAGCCACCTTACCCAGCCTTTTTTGTTTCTGTTTTTTTTTTTTTTTTTTTTTTTTTTTTTTTGAGACAGAGTTTCGCTCTTGTTACCCAGGCTGGAGTGCAATGGCGTGATCTTGGCTCACTGCAACCTCCGCCTCCTGGGTTAAGGCAATTCCCCTGCCTCAGCCTCCTGAGTAGCTGGGATTACAGGCACGCGCCACCACGCCCAGCTAATTTTTTATATTTTTAGTAGAAACGGGGTTTCACCATGTTGACCAGGATGGTCTCGATCTCTCGACCTCGTGATCCACCCGCCTCGGCCTCCCAAAGTGCTGGGATTACAGGCTTGAGCCACTGTGCCTGGCCTCTATTTTTGTTTTTTTGATATGAAGTCTTGCTCTGTTGCACAGGCTGAAGTGCAGAGGCGCAATCTCACTGCAGCCTACGCCTCCCGGGTTCCGGAGATTCTCCTGCCTCAGCCTCGGAGCAATTGGGATTCCAGGCATGCACCATCACATCCACCTAATTTTTGTATTTTTATTAGAGACAAGGTTTCGGCCGGGCGCGGTGGCTCAAGCCTGTAATCCCAGCACTTTGGGAGGCCGAGGCGGGTGGATCATGAGGTCAAGAGATCGAGACCCTCCTGGTCAACATGGTGAAACCCCGTCTCTACTAAAAATACAAAAAATTAGCTGGGCATGGTGGCGGGTGCCTGTAATCCCAGCTACTCAGGAGGCTGAGGCAGGAGAATTGCCTGAACCCAGGAGGCAGAGGTTGCGGTGAGCCGAGATCGCGCCATTGCACTCCAGCCTGGGCAACAAGAGCGAAACTCCGTCTCAAAAAAAAAAAAAAAAAAAAAGAGACAAGGTTTCACCATGTCTGGGGTTGGCCAGGCTGGTCTCGAGCTCCTGACCTCAAGTGATCCGCTCGCCTAGGCCTCCCAAAGTATTGAGATTACAGGCGTTAGCCACCTCACCTGGCGGAAATTTGGAGTTTCTAACCCTGAGGTTGAGAACTGAGGAAGTCAGCTGGAATCCATTCTCTATTAATGAGAGAAGTGACATAATCAGATCTAATTATTTTTTATTTTTGTGTTTATTTTTTGAGACAAGATCTCACTCTCACTCAGGCTGGAATGCAGTGGCACAATCACAGCTCACTGTAGCCGTGACCTCCTGGGCTCCAGTGATTCCACCTCAGCCTCCTACCTGGGACTGCAGGTGTGCATCATGATGCCTAGCTAATTTTCTTTTTTCAGAGATGGGGTTCAGCTATATTGCCCAGGCTCGTCTTGAACTCCTGGGCTCAAATCAGTCCTCCTGCCTTGGTCTCCCAGAGTGCTGGGATTGCAGGCATTAGCCACTGTGCCCTGCCCTTAACTAGATTTTAAAGAAAGTATTTGGCTGAGTGTGATGGCTCACACCTGCAATCTCAGCACTTAGGGAGGCTGAGTGTTTGGTTGAGGCCAGGAGGCCAGGAGTTTGAGACCAGCCTGGGAAACATAATGAGACCCTGTTTCTCTCTACATAAAAAAAAGCTGGGTGAGGTGTTATGTGCCTGTAGTCTCAGCTACATGGGGAGCTGAGGTGGGAGGATCACTTGAGCCTGGGAAGTTGCAGTGAGCTATGATTGTGCCACTGCACTCCAGCCTGGATGGCAGAGTGAGACCCTGCCTCTCTTAAAAAAGAAAATAAAGGATAAGATTCGCCGGGCGCGGTGGCTCAAGCCTGTAATCCCAGCACTTTGGGAGGCCGAGGCGGGTGGATCACGAGGTCGAGAGATCGAGACCATCCTGGTCAACATGGTGAAACCCCGTCTCTACTAAAAATACAAAAAACTAGCTGGGCATGGTGGCGCGTGCCTGTAATCCCAGCTACTCAGGAGGCTGAGGCAGGAGAATTGCCTGAGCCCAGGAGGCGGAGGTTGCGGTGAGCCGAGATCGCGCCATTACACTCCAGCCTGGGTAACAAGAGCGAAACTCTGTCTCAAAAAAAAAAAAAAAAAAAGATTCAACACTAGCCTGCATAATGAAAATGGGTGGGGGTGGGAGGAATGGAAGAGCTGCCGCTAGGGGATCAGGTGGGGCTGGGATCTAGGCAAGAGACCAGGGTCTGAGCTGAGCAGTGGTGGTTGGGATCTAGTTCTTGCTGAGATGAGATAAGGGATATGTGTGAAGCCTGTTTATACAGGGTAGCAGGTGCTGCTCCTGCCTTTTAGTAGGGGAGGAAAGATCCATAACCTATAATATAAGGGAGTCATGGTAAATTCCTTGAGGTGTACAAAGTGCTGTGGATGTTTACCGTAGGCTGAGATTGCTTTTAGTTTGAGAGAAGGAATAAAGGAAATAGAGAAGGTGTTGGGGCCTTGAAGAATGGGCAGAGTTTGGACATGTGGTAGAGGTAGGGCATTCCAGGAAAGCAAACCTATGTATTAATACATATAGTCTACTTTGGAGCATAATCAGGTGGCATCCTCAAAGAGGCCTTACCTGTTTTTCTTTTTCGTAGCAGCCGGTTCTCATTTCTAGGACTTACTCCCCTTTGCACTTTGGATACACTGGCTAGCTTCATGGCAATAGACACTTTTTGATAGAAAGCAAGGGAGACCTAGGCCCTGGTGTCGCCTCACCATGGTTTAATACCTGTCATGGGCAACCTAGAGGACCAAAAACTATTTAAAATGTATACAAGGAAGAACTTCTAAACAGTGGTTGTCTGGCCAAATAGCCTAGGAATTCTCAGTTTGGCCTCT